GTGTTAACAATTTTTGTTTAATAAAATCTGTATCAATACAATTCTCTGTCATATTTAAGCAGACTAATTATCTCGAAAACGTTCTAACATTTTATATTTTCTTTAAAACGTTACTGCTTTGTCAATAAATACGTCCGCGTTTTTCGTAGAGAATATTGTAAAAGTGCAAAGGGTTATACCATTAAATATTAGATCATTAGATATGAAATACATATTTTACTCTTCTTATTATTTATTATAAAATTATTCTAATGTTATTATAAAATTATGCATTTCATACTTATTAAATCTAGCGTCGACAACCTTCTTCGGCTGCTGGTCATAATGAACCAAAATTAATTATCATAAAACTATGAAGATGGAGCTTCAGGTAAGTGGCATTTTAATTTTAAATCCAGTCTTCTTGCGAATAATGAGATAAATCGTATTAAGAAACTAATCACAATAGGCTTTTGGAGTTTGAACGTAAAAACACAGAATTCTAATTCCAATGATTATAAAATCAAATATAATTATCAAATTGTCGAATGGATCAGTCGATGATCACAGGTTGCCGACGCCCGCTCACGATCCTAATCGACCTGAATTAATTTATGAAACAGTGTCAACGTGTTGAGACGTCGCGGATCGTTGATCTTCGGTTTTTCGAGGGCCGACAAGTCGTCGCCGCTAGGAAAAGTGTTAAATATAGATCGGCGCGCGCTTTCTTATGCAAACACCGGGGATCTATGGTGGCGGAGATGTGCCATTTGCGAAATGGTCATGGACTCGCTCGGGCCAGCGCGAGCGGTGGGGGACACGGAGAGAAAGAGAGAGAGAGAGAGAGAGAGAGAGAGAGAGAGAGAGAGAGAGAGAGAGAGGAAAAACGGGGGCCGAGAAAAGGTTTGTATGGCAGTGTATAGGTAAACCTACATTGCCGAGCGCAACCCTGGGACGAACGCCGGCAGCGAGAGTGAACCTTCGGTTTCTAGGGGTTGGACGGAGAGGGCGAGGGTCGATATTGTGCTTGACAGATAGTTTCCCATAGCTCCGGCAATCCATCATGGCCGGCACGCGGATACGTATTGGTTTTTCTGCAACGCGTCTTAGCTGTGAACCTCGAATTGAATATATTTTTTTCTCCTCTCTCTCTCTCGACGGCCTGTCCGGGTAACCCGCGCGGAATTTATCAGCCCTCTGTTTATACTTTTCCCTTTTTCTTGAGGGGCGAGTTGCTCGTGGACGGGTCCAGGATTCGATGGGGATGGATATCGTCTTGGCGCAATCATGGAAATTCGCGGGTGCTGGTTGGTAATTGGAATAAACAGGCTGCACGATTTTTCGCAGAAAAATTCGTATTTTTTCAGGGGAAATTGAGAAAGTCGTTGCGAGCGAGATTTATTTTCATTGTTATTTATTGAATACGCTCGTCTTTGTTCATCCACTTCATTTGTTGAATACACAGTTGTACGGATTCGAATAAAATAATTAGAATGCACATAAATTATTGAATGATTATTTAACACACTGCCTATAAATGTTAGTTTAAAGCGTAGTAATTATTATCGAATATTTATTTAAGGAAATGTATCTAAACGTTCTAGTAAAGGACAGAAATTTCACTGAAATTAGAAACATAAAGAAAGACATTAAAATGTCCAAAAGATGGAAATTAAGTGTAATAGTTTAATAGTTTAATGGATTAACCATTAGAGCGAAGTGTCCACGCAGATGCCATTTGTCGCGGATAATTCGCATAAAACCGTGATACATATCGAACCCGCTAGCACATCCGATGGTGGTACAGCACGTAGATCGATGACGCAATGATTCTCGGCGTAAGTTTAGGAGGCAGAGGTTTAATGTAGATCTTGTCGCGGTTGTGCCTGTCATGGTGCTCATATGTTAACACACCCGTGGACCGTTCCGCGTCTATGGAGAACCAAGATCGAATAGATCCAGGGTTTTGCTTTCTTTTCGCTGTTAATAGACCCGGGGCTTAGAGTCTCTTGTACTCTAATAAAGAAGATTGAGCTGGACGACGTTCAGCACGAGTCCTCGAATATTTCTCCTCTGAATCGATGGGCACAGATAGCACCGTGTATTCGAAAATATTCGCTTTGAAGCTAGTCGACCATTCTGCCACTGGAAATTAACACTTTCAAAGATTTCTACGTGAATCAATTACACGAGTCACTAAAAATATTCCGAATTTACAATCAGAATTTTAATTAATCTCACGTAACCACGACATTGATTTTTATCTTGGTTTTGAGATTCATTTTTATGTTCATTTCATATTCGAACAAGCTGAATGTTAATTAGAATTTTTACAATACAGAATAAATTTCAATTAATTTCTAGTTTCAGTTTTATCCAAAATTTGATACTGTGGGAATATCAGGGGGTGGATATTCGGCCCCAGACTTATTAAAAAGGAAACAGTTGTGTGATCACTAAACAATTTTATACGAAAATAGAAATATCCAGATACAATATAAAAATTGCTGTAAATCTGCTAGATATTATAGAATCGCCGTAGACATAAGGGTAGAACGTTTTTACTGTTGCTAGTTATTAGCTGAGCGAATCAGTCGGTGAAAAAATTAGTACGAATCACTGCAAACGATGTTGATTAGCTGACCTACGCCAACCAGGCCTGCAGCCATTTTTCCAAGCACATTCGCTTAAACCTCTTGAACCCCATTTTCAAGCATCCCCGTTTGCTTCCCCTCGGGGCGCAGCGACTACTTATAAATCTCTCAATTTCACCCTAGCCCGGGAGTGATACAAATACGTCTGAACGGTAATTCGCAGCCAGTTAAAACCCGGTATCAACCGCAATAATCACTTCCCCTGACTCCGGTCGCGGTCCGACGACCCGTTGGATTATGGGGGTGCGGGGAGCCAACCGGAGGGACGAAGAGGACTCTTCGGAGAGAGAATGGCATAACAGATACACGTGTCCTGGCGGCTCTGCTTTGCGACACGTGATTCATGGGGGTCCCGATACGTTTTTTACACCTGCGACGGCTTTATTAGAATTTCTAATGGGACGGGACAGCGGGCAACAGAGGGAGGAAGGAGGGAGAGAGAGGGAGGAAGAGAAAAAGAGAGAGAGAGAAGAGACAGCGAAGAGTGACACGCGAGCCGATGCTCCACCGTCAGGCCCCGAAATGCAACGACCCTGCCCGACTTCTTCAGGGTCCCTTCGATGCCGTTGGCTTTCATTACGTCAGGCTTGAAATACGTCGGCTTGCTGACGTGATGACTTCGTTTGTACAAAAGGTAGCGAGACCTTGAAGCACACATACTTTGTACAATTTTGATTAACATCTTAACCCCTTAACGTACCATTTTCTTCGCTGTTACTGCAATTCGAAATTTTTCGATCGTAATAATCATTTAGAAGGGAAAGAAAATTGATGTTTATCGTGTGCGTAAATTTACTCGAATGCTTAAATATTGATCGCAAGAGATTAGAATTTTATTCAAGTTTTGAAGGACAAAATAACGTGTGTGCTGAATAAGTTATTCAAGTCGTACTCGTCAAAATACAGCAAGGGGTTAAACTTTCAATTTCTTTAATAGTATAATTTCGTATAATTTCACACGTACAACTTCGCGAAGTTTCACCTACAAATGACAAGAATTTTGTCAACATTGCTCCAGAGTTATACACGCCCTATCCAAATTCTAATCTCTAGAGCAATTAATTAAAATCATTAGCTATTTACACTAGATTCGATAGGAGGATCTGCGTCGACAACGAAGAAGTGTATTCAAATATAAAAGAAAATTAACAAGGCCCCGCGGTTGACCAAATTCTCAACAATAGTACTCCTAAATCAGTGTCCTTGCTCCCTAATGATCCACAGTTAGTATCCAAAGGACCAAGAACGAGGGTTCTACCGCAGCTCTATTAGCTCCATTCTCATCCCTGAAGAAGCCCCTCGAAGCCCCCAACTCGACTTTAAATCATCCAGATCCAGGTACCCCGAAAACATACAAATCAACCCCGTAAAAGAAAACATTGTCATCCCCGACGTTGTAACAGCTAAATGAAAATCGAGTCGGAAGTGGGCCGAAATCAGTGCGGGAGGGAAGAACAAAAGTGAGTCTCCGATGACGGATTCGCGTGCGTTCAGGCGATGATCGCGTTTCCAGCGAGTCGTCGATGTTTTGCGGGCAGGATGAACCGTGTCCGATCTGCGATCATCTTGCCTCTCGCACAGCGGCCGGTCTCTCTCGGCCTCCTTAAGTGCGCGCGCGCGCGCGAGCGCACTCTGAGGGCACGCCGCGGTGCGACGAGGAAAGAGAGGCCTAGGAAGGATGGTAGGTGTAGGACAAATACCGGGCTCCGAAGTGGCGAATACCGAATCAGAGGTGGTGGGGAGTGCACGAGCGCGCGACCGCGAGAGAACTTAAAGTGGAAGAGATAGCCGGTTCCGTTTCTGAGTGGTGGGGGCGGCTCGGCCGGCTGGTGGGGGGACAGGGGCGAAGGGGTGGGGCGGTCGGGGGCGGGCGCGCGCGACAATTCAACAGGAACGGCCGAGCTCGCCACATCTGGCGTGCGAGTGGCAGAGTCTCTCGCTTTATTCCACGGAATCGAGTCTTCCTCCCACGCGGAACATCGAAAATTCTAGCGTACAAAGCGCGGCGAGACCTAGCCCAGACGCCGGATGAGAAATGATTCGAGGCCGGCTAGGAAAATGAAAACAGGTTTCCGCGAAAGGTGCCTCGTAGGAAGGAGAAAAGTGGCCGTACGCGGGAGAGGCGCAAGGCGGAGGGACCCGCGACGTCGCGGCGTCGCGGGATCGCGGGAAGTATGCGTGCAAAACGCGAGTAGGCCACGGTGCTTGTTATCCGCGAGAGGCAAGGAGAGCTCCGCCTCCTCGGCCGTCCCCTTCGCTCCGGAACCCCACCGACACGTCGCCACCCCGCGGTGCCCCCCGTTTGACCAACTGGCTGCTACGTCACACATGCTTCTGCTCGCCTTGGAGCCGCCAACTCCGAAGGCTCTCCTCTCAGTCGGCTCAGTTGAGTTACGAGTTGCGTCCGGGTTCGCCGTACGTGCGATAACGGGGGCGTCAATCGGGCCGCGCGATTGGGAGAGAAGAGAGGATTCCTAGCCTCTCGTGCACACGTGTCACTCTCGCTCCCTCCTGCCGTTTGCTTCGCCGTCGAAGGTCTCTGTCGCTCCTTCCCCGAACACAGAGAGAGCGGCCCGTCCCTCCGATTCGGCTCTGGGCAACAGGTTTGAATTTATGGGACAATAAAGAGTGCCGGTGCGTAGTGCGCGCGTGTTTCCCTCTCGCTCGCTCGCATTCCAGCTTTTTCTTCCACGCGGAACACGCGTTCCGTCGACGGAGAGGAGACAGCGAGCGCCGTGCCGGACTATCAAACTCTCATAAAACTGTCAGCCGCGGCCGGCCGGCCGGCTGACTTATGCGCGACCCTTCTTGGTAGCGCGGCTTCCGACTCGCGCGCAGATCTACGACCGTTCCCCCGTTCAAGGTCCGGGCTAGGTCCGCGATGCGTCCGGAAGTGGGCCCAGTGTTCTCCGTAGATCCCCGCGGTCCGTGATCCAACGACGCGAACGCGGTCCATCGACGTGCTCGTTCTTCCGACGTTCTTTCGACGAACTGTGTACCGCGTGCACAAGGCCACCAACGTCACCAGGGTGTCCCGAGACCGATCGTCCGCGGTGTATCGAGCGCCGATCGAGAGGATCGAGAATCTCGGGGAACCACCTCTTCCTTCCTCGTTTCGTCGGCACGAGGGTGTACGCGGAAGGGGGCGCGTGCGCGCGTTGCCCCCTCGAGAGACGGCAAGCGGAAGACTACTTCTCGGTGACGTTCCGGCCAGAAGATTGCTCAGAAGAGAGGAGAGGAGAGGAGCGGCGAAAGAGCGCGATAAAGCGCGAGAGAGAGAAAGAAAGAGAGAGAGGGTTAGAGAGAGAGAGAAATACCCTCGCCCCACCATAGAGACCTCGGGGCTCCCGAATATCTCTCCATTAGCCCCCCTGACGGTGCTATCCCCTCTCTGTGACCCCTCGGATATCCCGTCTCGCTTGCACACCCCTCTCGTCGGCTCTTGTCACGTCGGGTAGCAGCGGGGCAACACCACCACACGAGCAAGCAACCGCGGCAGCGCCAGCAGCAGCAGCAGCAGCAGCACTAGCATCACCATCACCATCACCAACAGCGGCAGCAGCCACAGCAGCAGCACCAGCACCAGCAGCCGGAGAACCGACGGAGACGCACGGCGAGGAACGGGGTTGAAGAATCCTACGCCGCGGCGGAGAGACCAATCAAGGTTTGACGAACGACGGGGATTGGTCGAGGCGCTCTCCTCTGACACGCAGAGAGCGCGGGCACGTGACAAGCTACCGCACACACCGGGGCCTCCGTTGGATCGCGGCGAGGCCTTCAGTACGATACCAACCACCCTCCGCGCACGCAACAGGAACGGTGAACGGTGAACGCCGAGGCCGCGGCAATACGTTTCACCCCCCTGATGCGGTGATATCGGTCTCGCCACCCGGGATAACGAGGGATATAGCGTGGAACAGCGGATATCCCAGTCCCGTTTTCACGAGGCCCGGCGTCGTCTCGAAGATCCTCGGATCCGGCAGACAGTTCTCGCGGCTCGGTCCCGCTTCTCGCGATCCGCGTGCCCAGGATCCTCTCTCGGGTCCAGCGGGAGGACACAAGTTCGGCTTCTGGTAACCGGTCGGTTGTTTCGTCAGTTTGGTCGCGCGTCGGTCACGGGTTCCGGGTGGACGAATAAATCATCGTGGAACGAAGAGGAGAGGGAAGAAGAACTGTGTGCGCCACACAACGGGGTCTCGTCTTCAATGGGGCGGCCCGATAAGCCGGCTGTTACGCGCTACTGCACGCTGCCGGCCGCGAGTTCTCCGTAGGTAATTGCGGCTCGTGAGGTCGTAAAGAAGCAGAAGACAGTTTTATAGCCCAGGCCCACGTGGCCCTCGTAAACTCGGCTCGGCATCGTCGGACTCTTCGCTCCGGCCTCTGCCCAGCGCCGTTTTGTTCGACCCCCTCGTTCATTATCGAGTCGTTTAGGGACGTGTTTATCCGCGTGTAACCGTCCGCGATAGAAGGTGCGAACGGGTTTCCTCGCCGCCTACTCAAACAAAGAGACAGAAAGAGAAAGAAAGAAAGAGATAGATAGAGGGAGAGAAAGAAAGATAGATAGGGTCTGGTGACCAGAGAGGTCCGTGTCCTCTTTTTTTCCGTCAGTGCTACCAGAGAGTGTGACATGCCACCGTTGCCGCGAGGCCGCAGGATGATGCTACGACAGGATGACGCTACGATCTAGTACTTAACGAAGAACCGAAAGTGCGCGCGATAAGATCGTCTCCTGGAAGAACGGCCGAGGGGGACCGTGGACAGAGAAGCGAGAGAGGTGAAGGTGTTGTTCTCCGTGAATGTCGAGCCGTGCACGTGCGGGGACCGGTATCGGTATAGAGTGAGGGTCGTTCAGAGCGAGCCATGAGTTCCTATCAGTTCGTCAACTCGCTGGCGTCGTGCTACGCGGGCCAGCAGCCGCAGCAGCAGCCGCGAACCACCGCGAACTCACCTGGCGAACCGATGCAGGCCGCGTCGCCGGCGGGCGGCGACTATTACAACCCTAACGCCGCGGCAACCAGCTACCCGACGCCCTGCTACTCGCCCCAGCAGCACTATCCTCAGCACCCTTACGCGACGCCGGCGTCCGGGATGCAGCACACGGCGCCTACAGGGATGATCGACTACACGCAGTTGCAGCCGCAGCCGAGGCTCAGTGCGACCACCACTTCCCAACAGCATGGCCTGCACGCGCAACAACAATCCCAGCACCATCCACAGCCCCATCATCCCCAACAGCAGATCCACCAGGACCCGACGACGCCGCTCCTGCAGGCCGCGTCCGCGCCATCGGCGCCCTCCACGTCCAGCTGCAAGTACGCCGACTCCACGTCCTCCACCAGCGTCGCATCGCCGCAGGATCTGACCACGTCCACCTCCAGGAACAGTCCCACGCCTCTGGTCGCCCCCGGCACCAGCAAGGCCGCCTCCGGGCTCACCTCGCCCCCAGGAAGCTCCTCGAGGTCCTCGGTCGCGGCGACCGCGGCCTCGCCGCCCAGCGGAAGCTCCAGACCGGGCCCCGAGGGAACTTCCACCCTGACCACCGCGTCCTCCGCCTCCTCGCCGGCCTCCTCGACCTCCAGCACCTCCAGCACCGGCAACAACTCGTCGAACAAGTCCAACGCCACCGGTAGCAATCCGCCGCAGATTTACCCGTGGATGAAGAGGGTGCACATCGGCCAAAGTAAGTCGATTTCTTTTATCTCTGTCTACCTTCTACGTCTTCGTCCTTTTCGTCGTCGTCGTCGTCTTCTTCTCTTCTTCCTTCTTCTTCGTCTTCTTCTTCTTCGGCGGCGGCGGCGGCGGGCTCTTCTGCTGAGCCCGCGAGATCGCGTTTAATTGAGGGTTGCCGCGTGGATAGGCTGGCCGAGGTCGTTCAACGACCGCCAGGATTCGATTGGAAAGCAGTTCTTGCGGTCGACACAGACACGTGGAATTTCGATGGGGTTTCGGTGCGTGTCCCGGCTGATTGCTGCGGACTTTTCGCCTGGTTGCAGATTGCGTTGCCGGAAGGTCGATATTATATTGCTCGGATGTTTGTTGATTTAAAACGGGATTGGTACTTTGTATTCGTGCAGCGTTCGTGTCTTCGCGACGTACGATTTGTTTCCTCGACTTCTCGAAGTCCGGCTGCTCAACTCGCGGATAAAAGATCAATGACACGCGGTTCAATAATGACAGTTGAATAATAGGGAGCTGAGGTAAATGTTGAACGAAGGTCAGCCTCCGAGAATTATTCCCACTGAAAAGCGTGTTTACTTTGAACGCACATTTTTCAAACTAGTTCCCCTCGACTCGCGTTTTACGTCACGAGAATCCACTCGAAAAACCCTCCGCTCGGTCACTTCAGAGAACCATCGACGAGCAAATTCCCAGTGATCGACGCAAGAGCGTCTACAAAATGGCGCGGCAGATCCTCGTTCGTGTTTCCGGCTCGACGCTCGTTGCATCCTGCGAGCGTAATATTGCATAAAGGAATGAATTCACAATGCGGCAGTCGCAGTCGGTTTGCCTCGTTTTGCCTCCCACGACGCGTACACGTGTTCCCCGTGGTCGCCGATCGCCGCCGAAAAAAAAAGTTCGGATTTCCGAGGACCCGGAGCGAGCCGGGCCCGTTCTCGTGTTTCCTCCGTATGCGGAAAGTCCGCCGCAAGGTATGCCCCCGCGCGATTCTCGAGCGAAAAAAAGAGCGGAAGAGAGAACCGTGAAATCGTAGAGCCCGGAGCCCGTAAATCCCGCGTCGGGCCCGGTCAGGCGCGGCCCGGCCCGGCCCGGCCCGATCGGTGATAAGTCATCATGGAAATGAACGAAAGAAATATCGTCGGCCTGGCCCGAAGTCTGCGGTGATTTGTAGATTGGCGCCGTGGAAATTTGTGCCAGTGTGTCATAACAGGAATGTGGAATCGCGGCGGTTAATAATCGCGATTACTTCTCGTCGGGCCCCGGTTCACGGGCCCGCTAAATCACCGCTGAAATATTAGCGGCGCGATTATAAGTTTCGATAACGATCCTCGGCTCGGCCCGTTCCGCGGACGATCGCGGATCTCTCGCGAGCGGATTTTCTGATTTTGATAGATCAATCGCGAGATGTACGCAGGAGGGTGGGGAGGGGATTCCGATCGAATCTCCGCCGGTGTTGATCGTTTTCGTCGTTTCCGCAGCCTCGGATAACAAATTGCACGGCGAACGAATTTCTCGGCGAACGGTTTCGAACAATTTGCGGCTCGGTTAGTCCGTGGCTCGTAAATGTTTCACGTTATCGCGGCGCGGCTGACGTCCAGGGACGAGAGCAAGAATAGCAGAAAAATAATCGATAGGACAGACCGCCTGCTGCTTGATAGCGGATGCCAATTACCGGAATATTGTGTTACCGTTCGGTTTCGATTGGGGGAACTTCGCGAAATTAGCCGGGCAATCCTCGTCGGCGCAGATCGCTGGGAAGTTTGCTCGCCGTGTAATTCTGGTTAGCGTGAACGTGATTTGGATTTATATTTTTCGACGGCCGTCGATTCTAGGGCACTCGCGCGACAGACGAAAGCATGGACACGTTGAAACAAAACGTGAATCCGCTATCATACAGATCTCTAAACTCAAACCTTCTGTAGCATCATCGAAATCAAAACTCGCGCGATCAGGTCAGTCGCTGGTCGAATCAAAGGCACACGCGATCCTAGGTCCGGAAAGAAACCAAATCCCTGCTATTACAGGACCCATTCTGTTCAATAAACCTAGAGGAAGCGAAAGCAAGAGTTAAACTCCGCTATTATAAAGGTCCCTAAACCCAAAGCTTCTTCAACATCCTAAGAATGAGAACACACGCGATCAAGTCACTGTAAATAAGCAGCTGCGACTTCAGACCCGCAGAAGTGCAAAATCGATAACGAGTAATTACAGAACCCATTCGATTCATTATACCGATTCAGAAATCAAAAGAAGGATTAAAGGAATTCAAGGAATACCCTTAGACACGTAATCAAAAAATAACTAACTAACTAACTAACACAGAAGTCTTTAAAACCGGCCATTCCGTAACATCTTCAGGATCAAAACATACGCGAACAAGCAGCTGCCGTTCGGATGAAAGGCCCACGCGATCCCGGGTCCGAAGAAGTCCCGAATCCCGAACAAGCGATTACAAAAGCCATTAGATTCATTAAACCGACGGAGAAACGGGAGAAAGAGTTAAAAACCGAGATCGAATAGGCAATCGCGGCGAACGCCCACGCGCGGACGATGCAACTAATCCGTGGGCAGAGGTTACGCAAACGTGTGAGTCCCAACAAGTGGTCCCACGTGAAATCGGCTCGGCGATTCCCGGATAGCACGACGGGCTATAAAAATACGGAAACGAGAGGAGACAAATAGAGCGCGTCGCCTTTCGGCCGACGAAACGCGGTGGGAACGGCGCCGAAACGGAGCGAGAGAAAGAAAGCAGGAGAAAGAGAGAGTGAGAGAGAAAGAGAGAGAGAGATCGTGGAGAGGGAGCCGTGGACCAAGAGTAATTCAGCGGAGTCCAAGGGACTGGATTCACCTGCCCCCGTGGTTCAAAGGAGATAAGACAGCGAGCGCTGGTCGCGTTCACATTAGTCGCCCCGCGTGATTTACTGCGCGGCCAGTATGATTCAGTCAGCGGGGAATTTGACGAAGAATTAATGGTATTATGATATCGTGTGTAACTCTATGTATGTGCGCCCGGGCCATAAATCAGGCTGCATTGTAAGGCGCGGGGGGCCCTTTCCTTCGCGTTCCGTCCCTCTCCCTCCGTAGCGGCGCGGCCCGGTCCCTCTCCGTCACTCCCGGCCCTCTCCCAGGCCTCTCTCGGGCCTCTCCCGACCGAAGGCCGAACAGCCCCATTCGGCGGACCCTACCAAACGGACCACGAAAACCAAAACGCTCCTTTCCAGCCTCTCTTCTCTCTGTTCCTATCGCTCTCTCGGCTCACGCCTTCTCCTGCGAGGCTTCTTTACCCAGTTCCGTCGTGTTTCTACGGAACTGGATAGGATTACGGGTTTCCCGAACGGTAGCGCACGGTCCCTCACGTGGCCTGGGTCCCTCGAACATGGCGGCGGAACCCGAGAGGTCAACCGGTCCTGGAGATGCTTGGGGTCCCTTTTTACCGAGCAACGATACCGTTTCTGTAACCCTTCATTGGCTGTGGGGTCTCTGGACTTTGACTTTGAAGGGACTGCAAGTTGGAGAGGAGTTCTGAGCCTGATAAGGGCCCAATCGGATCAAGGTTTTTGTTCGGGGACCTTTTGATTCGATGCTGGTCGTCAAAGTCCCGTAAATTCGAAGCTGATTAGTTTGTCATACAGGAACTGCAGTCTTTCGTTAATTATGGGGATTTTAGGCTTTTGCGATTAGTTTTAGAGCTTGATAGGAGCCTGGTTGGACCCTAAAAGCCCTAAGGTTTTTGTTGAAGCACTTCTCGATCCACCAAAGCTGTAGTGATTTATTGAATTTATCTTTGTTTTTGAGACGATAGTACTGAACTTTGACTTTGGTGATTCTAGACCCTAGAGATGAGCTTAACATTGTCTTCGAGACCTGTTAGGATCCCCGACTTTGTTCAGCTACCATTCAGTCTATCAATATCCATGAAAGTCCCAGAATTAAGTAAATTATTCAATTATACAAGCTACGAGTAACGGCCTTTGTTTTAAAGACATTGATTCTTAACTTTTATTTTGGTGATTCTAGACCCTAGAGATGAGCTTAACATTGTCTTCGAGACCTGTTAGGATCCCCGACTTTGTTCAGCTACCATTCAGTCTATCAATATCCATGAAAGTCCCAGAATTAAGTAAATTATTCAATTATACAAGCTACGAGTAACGGCCTTTGTTTTTGAGACGATAATTCTTAACTTTTATTTTGGTGATTCTAGACCCTAGAGATGAGCTTAACATTGTCTTCGAGACCTGTTAGGATTCCTGACTTTGTTCGGCTACTATTCAGCCTATCAATGTCCATGCAAGTCCCAGAATGAAGCAATTTATTCAATTAAACATACCACGATTTACAACGTTTGTTTTAGACACGTTGATTCTTAATTTTGATTTTATAAGTTTGAAATGTTAGCGACAAGTTTAGGTTGTCTTCGAGTCCAATCAGGATCCCCGATTTTGCTCAGCTACCTCCGACTGCACCAGTGTCGATGCAAGTCCCACAAATTCGAAGCAATTTGTTCAAGTCTGATATTCTTGGATCAGGTTCTACTTGAGTCGCTTCTAATATCCGTCAGCTTGAAATTTCCGCGTTTCCTGGCGCGTTGGTGTGTCGCTTGATATTTTATCCCTCGAAAACTCTGCGCGTTCTTTTTATTTCTGTTAAATTTTCGTTCGCCTCGCACGCTTGCCACGCATTTATTTATGCATTTGCTTCGGACGTTGGGCTTCTCGGAACTCTCTCCGCGCTCGAATCTTCCTCTCTCACCCTTGCTCTTCTCTTTTCCCTGAAGTTCTACTTCCCGCCGAGTCTCTCGGAATTCCATAATACTTGTAAAAAGAAGAAGCATCGCCGAGAACCTGCCTAATGAGTCAGAGCATATTCGAGGATGCTGGGAATATTCGCGCAATCCTTGCGAAAGCCATCAAAATACTTTCTCCAAGTTCCTCTCGCAAAAAATTCAAGTCCCGGTCGATCGAACCTACAAACGATCGCGATCCTCTCCGACCGTCGAAC